CCAAGAGTGATGATGGTGGGTGCAGTTCCATGTCTAAACACTAGAGGCGCTAATGAGCCAAATAGAAAAATCCAGCATGAATCAAGCTGACAGAAGTATTTTTCTTTTCTTAAAATTTGAAAAATCTTGTAGAAAAAGTATTTTAACTCACAAATAGTTGGCTGGATTATCTCAAATTTTGTGTGTTTAAGAGTATTTTATCTATGTACTGTAAAATACATGTAAAATTGATAAGGAAAATTTACAGTGCAAGTTGTTTTAAAGTTACATTACAAATGTTTAAATGCGTGACTGGTAAAATATATACACCGTACCAAAACCAGTGATTTGTGTACAAGGACGCTGAATAAATACTTGGCCCCTCTATGAATATTGTGGRCACTTGATGGCCCCTTACTCAGAAAAATCCTAGATCCGCCACTGCCACARATATGGTAGATWAAGTGATAATTTGACTATCTGGCACAAGATACTTCTCAGAGAAGTSATTAGAGTTTCAGCTATATAGAAATAAATAAACACGGCTGTCAGTTCAGTCAATCTAAACGGCCAGCAAGCAAAATTTCTGTCAGAAGCATCAAAGCAAAACAAGGAAGGCAGTGTTTTGTGGAGTAAGAATATCCTTCCAATCTTTGCAAATCTATTTCTGTGGATCTGAATTAGCTGATGTAGTGGGCAGCGAGCATTCCCTGCTGGGTAACGTATCTGTGTGTTCAACTGGCAGTGAGCCTAGAGCCGCAGACTTTAGACCTTGAAAGTAGTCCCAGCCTCTCCTTCTATTCTCAGTGGCTAAATGAGGATAAATGATGGCGTGTGTGGTGGGAATTTTGGTGCATTTTAAAGCGCTATCAGAGTTGAAATGGCTCTGTTGGCTACGGGTGTGAGTGCGACGTCCGAGGCGGTACCTAAATTGACGGTGAGCCGGACTCGACCGCTTTCCAGCTCGAGGCGCAGCGTGTCGGCGGAGTCTCGAGACGTGGTGGTGATCAGGAGGCCGTAGGCCCGCTGGGAGCGGAAGCGCAGCGACACGTCCTCRGCCTCCGTGTGCATCACCACCGGCAGCTGGACCTTCATAAACTTACTGCCGTCGTAGCTGAGGATGGTCGCCTCTGCGGGGAGAACAAGAAAGAAAACAAGATGAGTGAACGATGAAATGGATCGCAGCAATTTTATGGTAAACCAATGACCACGGCTGTCGACTCGGTGTAAAGTGATGTTCTGTTTGTTGACACAGTTTAGTGCCGCGACCTTCAATCCAGTCTCCGAGGAACATTGAATCGATGAACTTAAGAGGCACAAGGACAGCTACAGTCTTCTAGCAGTAAATTTAGATGGTATTCTCTAAGAAGTGATGTGCACGATTCTTTTCTTTTTTATTTTATTAAATAAATGAAAAAATTCACATCTTTAAAAATATTTCTAACTTTTGATAAATCCCATAGTACGTCCACCAGTGTATATTTACCTCTCCTGTCCAATTTATATTTTTTGTTTTGTTTACAATAACTAGTACCCTGATATATTTATCAAATAATTTATAACAAATAGGTGAATTTACACTTTAAACTGCGTACATACAGTATAACGTTTTCTTGGGAGCAAGGGGAATATTCTTTAACTATGTGAAATGTTTAAATTTGAACGTATTGTCAACAACAAAAAAAAAACTTTTACAAGTTTGCCTCAGGTAAAAAAAAACAAGATCGTGAACAACTGAGGCACCTTGGCCAGAATGAGCCAGCTGGTTGAGTGATTTAATAATAATTGGATTTTGTGTTAGCTTCWGGAGATGGAGGCAATATTTGTCCTGAATTATCACCTCGGTGACTAGAATCACAAAGACATAACGAAAAGCTTCGGACAATTACAAACACATTATTAAAGGTGAATGGCATGTTTCTTTATGTGTCATTTAAAATTAGTGTGTWAAGCAGGGGTGAGCGACTGGTGGCCCGCGGGCTGTATGTGGCTCGTGAGTGACTTCCCTATGGCCCATTAATTTTTTTTAATTTTTTAATTTTATTTTACAATAAATAAATAAATAAATAAATAAATCACTCAAAGCAGCAGATCAGTCCTCCTTGGCTCTA